ATAGGTAAACAAAAGCCCCTTTAAGCTTTGTCTAATTAAGACATTTACTAACCTTTATTGAAGTCCACATGAGCACCAAAGACTTGCTTCCACGCGAAGTGACATGTCCAAAGGGGAACCCCCAGACTTCAGTGATAATGAACCAAGGTAAGATACTCTGGAATTAAATTTCTATTAAACAAGTAAGAAAACATTGTAAATCCCTCTGTCATTAGTAAATCTGATAAATAACTAAGAACAGCATTGCAGTAATCTTAGTCAACAATATATTACTCTTCATTCATATTTTTAGAATATTTTGGATTGTAACTTTTTGATAACCATGTACCAAGAAGTCGCGATTCATGAGGTATATAACACTATCAATGTTAAAGTGACATTAAGAGTTTTAATATGAACTTTGGAATCTGTTCCATTAATGCAGAAGTGACAATGTATTTAGTAGAGCAAAGTTCTTGTAGCATTTGCTGTAAATACATAAAAACCTGAAATACAGCATTAAAGCAGAGCCTTTATCACTAGTATATGGTTGTCAGCTAAATGATGACAATGTTTAGAACAGTATTTATTTTTGGTAGATCATATAATATTACTGTTAATACAAAGCAGGTGTAGCTTAAATGTGGTGTGTGGATCTTTGCTGCTAAGCCATGTGTATGTGGAAGCACAGATACAGCAGACTCTCTGTGTAGTCAGCAGGAGTTACCCAACTTGCTGTCCAGTGAAAAGACAGTGGAGAACATGAAACAAGGTTTCAGAGCTATTGCTAAAGCTTTCCTTAAAGCCTAATATGGAGCCTTGGTGTTACGCCACATTTCCATGTCCTCACACACTATTTTCAGAATCTGTAAGTGAAGTCAGGTGATGCTGAGGCCTGGTCATATCATCCAATTATGTTGCTTATCGAGAAGATTGTCATTCAGTTTTGACTATTTTTCTGCCATAAGAGTATCTGGACAATGAAAACATCGAGGGTAGACTTGACACTACATCAGTTATCAGTCACTTCTTGAAATGAACAGTGATATTAATGGAACAGAGACAGCTGGTTAGCACGCTGTGTTCAGTATCTTTTCAGCAAAACACTTAAACATATTTCTGTCACTTAACATCAAAATAGTTACTGCTGGGCATCCTGTTCAGTTGATAATTGAAATTGCTTTTTGAAGGTGTAAACAAAAGTTACAGATGCACTTTTAAGCTTTGTCTAATTAAGACATTTTCTGATCCTTTATTGAAGTCCACATGAGCACCAAAGACCAGACTCAGAGAGTTATTTTTCCATGAGAAGTGACATGTCCAAAGGGGAACCACCAGACTTCAGTGATAATGAACCAAGGTAAGATACTCTGGAATTAAATTTCTATTAAACAAGTAAGGAAACATTATAAATTCCTCTGTCATTAGTAAATCTGATAAAAACTTTAAGTACAACATTCCAGTAATCTTAGTCAACAATATATTGCTGGTCATTCATAGCTTTGTACGTAAATAACTGAAATGCAGCACTGAAGCAGAGACTTCATCACCAGTATGCGGTTGTCAGTTAAATGATGAAGTTGTTTAGAACAGTTTTTATTTTTGGTAAGTCATATAACGTTATCATCAGCACAAAGCAGGTGTACCTTAAATGTGGTGTGTGGATCTTTGCTGCTAAGCCATGTGTCTGTGGAAGCACAGATACAGCAGACTCTCTGTGTAGTCAGCAGGAGTTACCCAACTTGCTCTCCAGTGAAAAGACAGTGGAGAACATGAAACAAGGTTTCAGAGCTATTGTTAAAGCTTTCTTTGAAGCCTAATATGGAGCCTTGGTGTTACGCCACATTTCCATGTCCTCACAAACAATTTACAAAATCTGTAAGTGACCTCAGGTGATGCTGACGCCTGCTCATAACATCCAATTATGTTGGTTAAGATTGTCATTCAGTTTTGACTGTTTTTCTGCTATAGGAGTATCTGGACAATGAAGAGATTGAGGGTAGACTTGACTCTACATCAGTTATCAGTCAGGTCTTGAAATGAATAGTGATGGGACAGAGACAGCTGGTTAGCACGCTGTGTTCAGTATCTTTTTCAGCAAAGCACTTAAATATATTTCTGCCGCTTAACATCAAATAGTTACTGCTGGGCATCCTGTTCTGTTGATAATTGAAATTGCTGTTTGAATGGGTAAACAGAAGTTACAGATGCACTTTTAAGCTTTGTCTAATTAAGACATTTTCTGATCCTTTATTGAAGTCCACATGAGCACCAAAGACCTGTTTCCACGAGAAGTGACATGTCCAAAGGGGAACCCTTAGACTTCAGTGATAATAAACCAAGGTAAGATACTCTGGAAATAAATTTCTATTAAACAAGTAAGAAAATGTTATTATAAATCCCTCTGTCATTAGTAAATCTGATAAAAACTTTAAGTACATCACTGCAGTAATCTTAGTCAACAATACATTTTTAGAATATTCTGGATTTTAACTTTCTGATAAGCATGTACCATTGTCAGCAAAAAAGAAGTCGACCTGAATAGGGCAATAAAGATACAATACAAGTGCTCTAATGGGGTTATACGGTACTACAAGGTCATTAAGATAAGATGGGGC